GGTGTCTAAAAGGTGTCCAAGGGTGTGAGGGTGGCCCCAGAAGCTATCTGTCACTGGTCACCTGTCTTGGCTGCCCTGTCTCGTTCCTGGGCTGAGGCCACCTGCCCTTCCCACTGTCCCTGCCCTGTGCATCTGTAAGGGCAGGAAGTCGCCGTCACCTTCTCTGGCTGCAGCTCAGTCCCTCTCCTCTTCCGTCTTCTCTGTGGAAGGCAGCCAGAGAGACTTTTCCTGTCTCTGAACAGAGCTCAGAGCCTTTGAGAACCCAGCTGTTCTCTTCTGAGTTGGTGTGAACCCACTACCCAGAGGTGGAGCTAGGGAGGAAGGGTGGCAATTGTCCAGACTGCCTCTGGGAGAGGCAGGGATGTGGCTGAGGTGGGAGTTCGGGGCTATAGACAGTAACCCCAGGAGTTGACAGAGGACGAGGTAGAGGGGGCTGGGGTGAGATGCAGTACAGGAGGGTTAGGAGAGGGCCAGCGTGGGAGCCCGTGGAGCAGCTGGCCCAGGGCAGGGAGAAGAAGGCTGCCCAGGAGGGGACAGGAGCCACACAGAGCCATGCAGACACAAGTCCCGTGGAGGACGCTTTCTCACGAGAGGGCAGGCTCCAGGATCCATGTGCACTTGAAACTCATTTCCCAGTTCCCAAGGGCACCATGGCTTGTCCCTCCTTGCAGCTCCCTCCAGGCAAGCCCGGCCTGGGGTGGGGGTGCTGAGTGTCCCTCCTCCCCTAGCTCCATGCGTGGCCTCTGAGGTGGTTTTGTGGGAGGACAGAAGCTGGCANCTCCTCCCCTAGCTCCATGCGTGGCCTCTGAGGTGGTTTTGTGGGAGGACAGAAGCTGGCAGAAGGTGTGAGGAAGCCCCCGCCCCAGCACTACTTGGGGTCTTCTGTTAAATATCCTGAGCTCTTACCCCGTGTCTTTGTTTTGAGGTTTACATTATTTTATGTGGTGAAAATGGACTTTCAGAAACCAAAGAACTCTACTGTCCAGAGAAGCCCCTGTTTGAAAGGAATTCCAGACACACTTTTATCCTGAGGTATTCCGAGATATACCTGCTGCATGATTCGGAATCGATGTAGCTTATCACAGGTACAGAAAGTAGAATGTGTGACATGGTCTCTAACAGGGAGCCTCAACTTACATACTGACAAGCTCGTGCAGTATATTACAGTTTGTTATTTGGAGTAGATTAAACGGTATGTTTATGTGAGGGAACGAAGGAGGGAGGGAGGAAAATCCATTAGTTTTGCATGCTGGTAGAGTTCATAATCACAGTGTTTTCTGTGTCACTAAGCCTGCTTAAATTAATTGGGTTCACCCCAAATTAGGAGGAGCAAGGACACATGGTGACCAAAAAATGCAGAGTTGGAGGAAGAGGGATAATTTATCATGACAGGAGTACAAGCACATAACATTTTTAGAAAATATGAACGTGCTAATCTAAATTATTTTTTCTGCTAAAAATTTCATTTATAATATTTATTGGTGTGGAGTATTATATGCTCATTAAGGTAGAGAAGGTTAAATTTAGACTAAGCCATGCCAGACACAAATACATCAATGAGATTTGAGTGACTTTGGTTTAGGGAAACTTATAGATAATAGATACTGAAGACTTGTGTGCATGGTCTGAGGGATTCACTGTGGGATTTATGGTCCACTGGCCGTGTTCTGGGGGGCTTCACCCGTCACCCTGCAGGACAGTCATCTGCTGACACGTCCACTCCCCTGGACCATCAGTGCCTTGAACGTGGGCATCAGGGCTGGCGGGGTTCCCCAGGCCACACCATCTGCCCATGCTCAACTGATGAGACACTGTTGTGTGTGTCACTAGTGCTCCTGACCAGCTGGGCCCACTCCGCAAGATCCGCATCTGGCACGACAGCCGTGGGCCTTCCCCGGGCTGGTTCCTCAGCCACGTGATGGTCAAGGAGTTGCGCACGGGACAGGGCTGGTTCTTCCCTGCCCAGTGCTGGCTGGCTGCGGGCCGGCGGGATGGCCGTGTGGAGCGAGAGTTCACCTGTCTGCGCCGGGGGCTCGGCTTCTGGAAGGTATGCCCTGTCCGGGCACCCCATGGCACACCTGGCTGCCCACGTTGTCTGGCTCTGCTTCTTTTTCTGCAGCTATTTCTTTAAACTTTTCCGAAGTTGGATGTATTAGCTCTTTTCTTAGTTATTAATCAAGATGTTCATGTCTTAAATGATGTATTCAGTAAGTGGCCATCAAGCATAGATCAATTTCCTTTGCCAATTATGAATTGTTATAATGATGCTTTTCTTCTGTTAATTGTCACTGTAATGACATTGTTGGACTTATGGTTTCTGGTGGTCTGTGGTGTCCAGGGCCCTCTAATTAATGATTGTTCAGGAACCTTCACAACCAAGACAAATGATAAACAATACAGATGTGGTCAGGGCCAGGATGGCAGGAGAGCATGAAAAGTGACAAAATCACTGATAATCCCACGGACCAACTATAAGAGCTTTGATTTTTGCATGTTCCCTTACAACTTTTCCCTGTATACAAAGATATTTTATGCAACCGTAATAATAATGCTGGTGCATTGAGCACTTTCTAATTTAACATTCTAGAGTGAATCTCCTTATGAATTTTCTTCAGGATCATTTAAGGACCATATGATGGCCTGGTGTGCACTATTCTCTGCTTAAGTATCCACCTGTTTATTTCTGTAATAGGAGGTGTTGTAGGAAACACTTTCTTGTGTGGCTCCGTGTTTCTGTGTGACTCCGTGTTTCTGGTTTCTGAGGCTGGGTCTCAGGCACTGGCGAGAGCTCAGTGAACACAGACACTTGCCCCCCATCACAAGACCCATGCGTCCCATTGTCACCTGCGTGGTGAGAGGGCCAGGCTCCTGACCTTGACTTCTTCAGGCCTTACATTGCTAATTTAGTAAGAAATATGATCACAATGAATTTGAAATGAGTTTTAAATCAGCCATAGCATATGGAAATTCTTTAGCACCTAAAACTGCAGGCCCGATTCAATGCCCAATTCAACGCCCAATTCAACGTGGACTTCCCTCAGGCAGTTATTTCCATGTGAGAATGCCATTTAGCTGATTGCATATGGTTAGCACAGGAGAAGGACATTATTTATTCTCCAGCTATTTTGCTTGGGAACTTTTGGTGAGAGACCTATGCTTACTATTTAGTCATATCCACAAGGCGCTGTGTCCTATGAATCAATCATCCCTTGTTGGCCAATTTACATAGAAAAGATACATTCTCATTCTCTTAAAACTGTTTTGCTGGTATTTGCTTGTGTTATTCTGCTCATATTCCATAATATCAGTTCTACATGAAATTCTGCTTTTTCTACAATGTTGAGCACCAAGCATTATTTGAATTGAATTCAAACTTAAAACTCAGTGCAATTCCATAAGCAACGTATCACCTGCTGTGTGGCGGGCAACGTACGGGCTGCTGAGGACAGATGTGGATGGGACACAGTCCCAGCTCTTGGCGCACTCAAAGCCTAGTTAAAATGAACTGTGCTGCTGGGGAGAGAGTCTGAGAGTGGAGGGTTTTTAAAATTCTGTTAAGAACACAAAGATGGAATTGACCTGAGGCTCTAGAGAGACAGGCATTTAAGAGACAGACAGGTGAGGCAGAGAACAAAAGCTCAGGAGGCTCCTGCAGAAGATTGGGGTGAACAGGGTCCACTGTGTGGGGAGCTTGGCTGGAGCCAGGGGCTGCTGACAAGGAGAGAAAGAGCCAGATACGAAGGGCCATACAGAATGTCCGCTTACACCCGGTGCCCACTGAGCATCTAGTTAAGGAGCCAGGATACAAGAGCCAGGGCACGTCCATGTGTCCGCTCAGAAGACCACTGGTTACCAATTGCTGTTCACATAAATGTCTAACAGCAGGGAATCATTCTCCTGCTGTTTTTGTTCCAGCTTTTCTATTCTAAGTTCACGGAGTACCTGAAGGATTTCCACGTCTGGCTCTCGGTGTACAGCCGGCCCTCCCCCAGCGGCTACCTGCTCACACAGCGCCTCGCCCTGTCCTTCTCCCTGCTGTGTGTCTACGCGTGTCTCGCCGCTGCAGTCACCGCTGGAACACCAGAGCAGGTGGGAGGCCCCAGACCTACAGGGCAGCCCCTCCTGGACTAAGGAATTAGCAAAATGAACAGTCCCCAGAGAAAGGTTTAAACCAGGGGAAATGAGCCCGTGTGCCTCGAGGGCCCTGCAGGTGATGCTGGGATGGCACTGGGCAGGGCTGTGGGGTGGTGGGCTGAGCCAAGCTGCTGCAGGAGGGAGCGCATACCCCAGGTGCCAGCAGCATGACTCTTCCAGAGGAGTTGACCCGTGTGCCTCGAGGGCCCTGCAGGTGATGCTGGGATGGCACTGGGCAGGGCTGTGGGGTGGTGGGCTGAGCCGAGCTGCTGCAGGAGGGAGCGCATACCCCAGGTGCCAGCAGCATGACTCTTCCAGAGGAGTTGGCAGCCTGGGTTGTCTTATGAGAATATGCCTGAATTTTTTTTTTTAAAGTTGACAGTTTAGCTAAATATTAAACAAATCCTCTGGTTCATCTCTGGGGTGGGGCTCAGCAATCTGTCCATGGGACGGCAGGGCATGTGGCTGTCTTCATGGCACTGGGCGGCAGAGAGGCCCGATAACAATTATGGGCTAGTGGGTTTTTTAAAAAAAAGAATGACGTGTGTAGAATTTGTAAAAAGATGATGATGAAATATCATCAAGTAATGAGTAGGGGACAGCTCTGTCCACCTGGGAGAAGGTTGGGGCCGCAGTCAGGGACCCTGAGGCTGGCCTCTCCTCAGAGGTTAACTGCTTCTCCTGACCATTGGGGCATTGCGGGTATTGATGCCTTCTTGTCGCGTGTCACAAGGATTAAATCAGCTGAGCATGTGCCTAGTGTAAAGTGGGTGCTCAGCAGACCTGTGTTCATCCCAAAAGGATTTGTACATGAGGAAAACAAATGAATTCTTGTGCTTTTCTTACACCTGGGATGGAAGGCAAAGATTCCCGAAGACAGAAACTTCAATTAAATATAACATGTACATTCACATTAATTATATTTGTAATGGCACGATGATCGTGCATTTCAGGGAGAGGTAATTGGTGCCATTGGATCATTGCAGCTTCTGCTGGATGTTGGCCCCACCAACGTCACTCCTGGATCTTTTGGGGTGGGTCTCCTGTGTACCCTCCTGGCCTCTCCGGGGGCACAGCTCCTGTCCCTGCTCTTCCGGCTCAGCAAGGTACCGTGGCCCTGTTCTCCTGAGAAGCACCTTCATGGCTGGGCAGCACCCTCTCTACACAACCTCTTTACCTCCACAGGACACCTTGGGGCCTTCCGGAGCTGAGCCATGCTGCCGCCTGTGTGGAGCACAGATAACCCAGGGTAAATGTGCACTAAAAAACACGTAGAGACGTTCCCGTTGTGGCTGATTGTTTCGGGCCAATCTGCTCAAAGTGATATTGGAGAGGGTGTAGGGAGGTTGGGTAGCCGGCCTCAGCCCACCCCATCCCCTAGCAGGTTCTTGACTCCACCACAGGAAAGAATTCAAGAGCAGAGTCACAGTAGAAAGTGAAAATAGGTTTAATGTAAAGAGCAAGAAAAATTACACACTTCACAGGGAAAGTGTGGGCTGGCTCCAGACAGTGAGTGACAGCCATACAAGTTTAATGCAAAAGTAAGAAATACATATTTTCACAAACTAAGTCTGGGCTGGCTACAGAGGGTGAGCAGCAGCCTGCTCAAAGCAGGTTTAACACAAAAAGTAAGAAATACACCCCTCGTGTGAAGTGCAGGCTGGCTCCAGAGAGAGTGAGCAAGAGCCCTGCCTTCTTCCTGGATTCAATTTTTATAGTTGGCTATCTATACATGTTCAGGCTATCTAATGAACATTCAACTGAAGGGGCGGTTCCTAGTTATTAACATAGCCTTGCACATGCTAAGTTGGTCTCTTTGGAGCATGCTCATTGGTCAAATTCTACTGAATACACTTAAAATATGCTAGGTGCTCTCTAGTGCCTCCAGTGGAAGGTCATTCATAGGATAAACTCCTTTCTACTGGGCATGCTCAGCCACCGAAATTACATGTCTGCCTCCTTCGTCTCAAACTCTACCTGTTGGTGCCAAAAACAGGTGCAACAAGCAGCAGTAGCTCAGGACTCAGAGGAGGGGCCTGAGACCTAAGGGAGTGGTTTGAGACTCAGGGGAGTGGCCTTTAACTCAGGGAAAGTGAGCACCTCCTATCTCAACAGGAACTATATCTCCTACTTCCAGTTTGCAATGTGTTTATTATGAGTGGAGTTGATCGTCATTTCATAGGTGTAAAAGCCGTTTTGTTTTCTGTGGTCCGTCCATTTCCTTCACAGAGGTTTACATTCACCTCGTAAAATCCTTTCTTCTGTGTGATGTGTATGTGCTTGTCACTAACTGGGTACATCAGGCTTTTGTCAGATGGGAGCTTTTCCCAACTGCTTTGGCCCTTTGAGTTTATTACTTTTTTTTTTTTTTTTTTTTCGTGCCCGGCAATGGATCGCAACCCTCGGTGTTGCTCCCGCCCCTCGCTCAGCCAGTGAGCAGCTGGTCTGTATGTGGGATCCGAACCCTCAGCGGGAGCGCCACTGCGCTTCCCAAGCGGCGCACTGTAGCAGTGCGCCACCGGGCCGGCCCAAGTTTATTACTTTTTAAAATTTGATATACTCATATTTGTCAGTATGTTCTCTTAAGGCTCTTTTTACTGTTTTAGTTAAGCATTTTTCTGAAGCTGCTGTGTTTCCCTAGGGCAGCCTCAGTGGGTGTGAGGGGCTTTCCAAGCCCACACCAGATGGCGGTGTCAAAAGGCCCCTTTCTAGCCTTGTCCTGGCTCTCAAAAGACTCGTTTTGGCTGAGTCAGGAAGAAAGTATTTCCTGAGGAAAACGGTATCCCTAGCAACCCTGAACATATCCCTCACTCAGCATCATACACTTGGCTTTTTTTTTTTTTTTTTTTTTAATATCAGGCCCTAACTCCCATAGAAGGATACCAGATGCACAGGAGCCATGCAAGGTAAATTGATAATTAGGTGCGGTAGCTAATTCTCTAGCAGAAAATGCTGACAATGAGGTTCTCCTGTGTTTCCCTGCCTGTGGCCTGGCACGGGTGGGTCAAGTCCAAGGTGAGATGGAGACGAGGAAAAGACCTGTGTAAGACCCACTGTGTTGACCGGGCCATCCTCCTGAGATGCAGGTGGGTTCCCAGGATCCAGGCCACGGGGGCTGGCAGTACAGGTAGGATCAGGGAGGAGGAGTCTCAGCAGAGGCTGGAAACGGGAAGGGGGACAGCCCCGCTGAGTTTGGAAAGCCCCATGTGTATATTCACTGAAACACTGGCAGGACCAGTGGGAGACATGCTGTGAGCAGCGAGGCCCGGGAGCTTGCCTGGCCAGCTCCTGCCAGCCCTCATGGGCAGTGGGGCTCAGAGGACCCGCCCCAGAGAGGGGAGCTCCGTTCCAGGTGCCAAACAGGCCTGGACATGGGGCAATTGAAGGGCAGTTTGTAACGATGCAGCCGCAGCAGCACATTTGCTTTTTGGATCGGTGCGACTACCCTTCACTTGGGTGTGATTCTTTTGTGGGGATGTTTTAGGGTACGTATGATTCCCTGTGTTCTCCAGGCTCTAACCTCCTGCTCGGGGCCACAGTGTGTCCCCTGTGCCTACGACATCACACTGGGCTCTGCCCCTCCCACCCTGGAGCTGTTGCTCAGTCCATTCCTCTTGTCTGATTTCCCTCCTCTGGCAGGGTTGTGCCTCCCACAGAGCAGGGTGTAACCCACGGACTGCGGGGAGCTGCCACAAGGCTGCCAGCATCACCCAAGGGCACCCCGCTGCCCCCCGCAGGGTACAAAGGAGCCAGCTCCTGGGCCTCACGGTGCATCCTCCCTCAAGAGCTCACCTGGGCCCTGTGCTTGGCACCTCCCCACCAGTGCCACGCCTGTCTTCTGAGAGGGCTGACAGAGGGCAGAGCATTACATGGAAAGCCCTGTCCATGCAGACATTGACCTTGGCCTGACCTTTTCATTCCAGCAGCCTGCATCAGCCATTCTCTCTGGGAATGATGGGGCCCGGAGGAAGGCATTGAGCCGTGATGACCAGGGCAGAGCATTACATGGAAAGCCCTGTCCATGCAGACATTGACCTTGGCCTGACCTTTTCATTCCAGCAGGCTGCATCAGCCATTCTCTCTGGGAATGATGGGGCCCGGAGGAAGGCATTGAGCCGTGATGACATGGCCTGTCCACCCCCTGAGCTGGGGATGCGTGGGGCTGACCACAAGGAGGAAAAGAGCCACTGCTGCCCGACCCGTCTACAAGGTGACTCAGGCCAGGAGGTTGGCAGGAAGGAAGGTGCAAAGAACTCTTTGGGGTAACCCTCCGGTTACGAGTGTGGCTCTGGAGAAATTACACAGCAGAGGGAATGGTGGAGACTGTGGGGACAAGCACAGCCGTGTCCTAGTGGCATGCGTAGACTTGATCCAAATCCGGACAGACCCTGCGGATTCCAGATCAGCCCGCTTGGTCATCTGGGGTCTGAAGTGGAGACTGGCCCCTCCGCCTGTGCTGCTGGGGGCCTCTCAGTTGGTTCAGGAGGGGAGGCCACCAAGGGCACTGCATGGGCCCCTGCCGTTCAGGCAAAGACCAGCGTCCCAGCTCAATGTGCAGGCGGGGGAGTTCCTCTTACTCAGCCTGTTCTATTCAGGCCTCAACTGATGGGATGAGGCCAAGCTACAGTGGGGAGAGCCATCTGCCTTACACAGTCATCTGGAAACACCTGCACAGCCACACCCAGAAATGTTTGACTGAATGTCTGGGTACGCCATGGCCCCGTCAAGTTGACACATAGAATTCACCGTTGTGTCTATGGAGTTTAACCTGCTGTGTGTCTGTCCTGCTCTTCCGTAGCTCCCAGTGGTGTTTTTGAAGGTCTTATGTCCTGGTGGCTACAGGCTTGTCTGCCTTGGTCAGGCTCTGCAGCGTGGGCCCTTTGTGGAATGACTTCCCTGGCCTGTGGTTTGGGGACAGGAGTTCTAGGCTACAGGTGAGTTTTTGAGGTTTTTCAAATACCCTCAGGTCCTTTGGTAGGAAGTCTGCATTTGTAAGGAAATCCATGCATTTCTGGGAACTCATAAAATGCAGGTACCAGATGTCACTTACTGCTTTTTCCTCCCTCATTTCTCCCTCCCACCTCCTGGGGGTGGATATAAACATGCAACCCCCAGAGAGTCACTTGGCCTGGCCAGCTCTGGGCCATCTGGGCCAGGCTGCCATCCCAGGTAATTCTAAAACTTGCAGGACCCTCACCTAAGCAAGAAAGGAACCTAGCCCTAGAGCTCCTGAGAAGGGCAGCACCAAGCTGGGTGCACTGGCTAGAGCATGCCTGTCATCATCTCCCATTGCCTGGAAAAGCATTTGCCTGCGAGACACATGTCACAGAGTCTGATTTGTCCTCCCCACATGCTGCCTCTTGGTCTGGCTCCCTGTGCAACTCAGGCCATCAGAGACCCCAAGGTCATTCCACGTGTCTCCTTTGGGCCTACATCTTCAGAAACCAAGACACTTTCTTCCTGATTCTCTCCCCTACCCCAATTGCATGTGTTGAGTCACCGTGAGGCTGGGCAAGGCACTTAAAGCCTCTCTGCACCTCAGTTTGCTCTCCTGTGAAATAGGGCTACTCAGAGTACTTAATCTGCAGGGTTTTAGGCAGAGCAGGTGAAATGCTAAATGCAGACCTTTCGGCTCGTGCCTGTGCCCGTGAAGCGCTGCCAGCATCTGTTTATTGTGGTTGTTGCTGTGATTTTTATTATTATATCTGACTTGGTTCCTTCCCACTCCACCCCCTGCATGCTGTTCTGTCCATGTGTTGGGTTTTCCTTTCTCCTGCCCACTGTGCAGCTTTGGGGAGGTGGATGTCCTCTCAGCAGGAAGGGACTCCCCTCCAGTGGGCAGAGGGACATTGTGCCCACGTTGGGCAACCCCTCCCTGGCCGCAGCTGGCGTCCCATGCGTGCACTGCAGCGGTGAGGGCACGGACCACCCTGGGCTACGTCTTGCTTGGGTAGTGATGACTGTCAGGCAGCTCTCTCTGAGAGGTGCTGACCATGCCGTCTCCTGGGGCAGGTTTGGCCCGGCGCAGTGTGTGCAGTGGCTGCACCTGCTATTCCTCTCTGTGCTCTGCTGTGTCCTTGTCACCCAGCCACTCATGGTAAGGAACGCCTCCGTCAGCAGGGGACCTGGGAGGGACGGGAAACAGTGGCTTCATTCTGGTAGCATATTACTTTTCTTTATAGCCGTGTTTAAGGTGTGGGAGGAAAACCTGGGAGCCTGGCCCTGCGCTCAGCTCTACGTGGGCCTGTTCCTTAATCCTCATAAAAATCCTCCGAGGATTTTTAAACCTCACTTTTCCTTTGAGGAAACTGAGCCCCAGAGAGCACAAGTCTCTTAGGTGGGGCCACAGCTGGTGAAGACGTGGCTGGAGTCGAGGGCTGTGACTAGTAGTGACTTCAAAACTGGGCGACGGAGCCCTGTTTGCGACTTGGTGACAAGAGCACAGCATGGGGCTGCTGACCATCCTGTTTCCCTCCAGATCTGCCTCACAGTGCTGGGTTTTGCTTGGAAAAAAAGAGATGACAGCCACTTCTTTGCTGAGTCTTTGTGTGCTGCGACCAGGAATCTGGACTCTGAGCTGGAAGAACGTTCCAAGGCCCATGGTCCCCCTTCCTCAAGCTGCCACCTTCCTGACTGGGCAGATGACGCTGAAAAAGTGAGGATGCTGTCCCTGCAGGCAGCCGGGTTCTGAGCAGTGCAGTGCATTCTCATCAGCCGTGTATGCACTTAGGCTTTGAACTCCGACTTGGTTGCATTTTTGGAGGCCCATGGGGTGTATTTTAATCTCTTATGCTGCTTCACACACGTGTACATGACAGGTGAACACACAGATTTATTTCCTTTACCCCGATCCCAAAGAAGCCGCAGCATCAAGAAAATGAGGGTATTTTAAAATACTGAAGCAAATGAGAAATACAATTCTTGGCCATGATTTTAGAAAATTTTTAGGCCATTTGCATCTCAGTGGACCCACAGAAAGCGCCCTCCTCCTTTCCTTACCCCGCCCTTCCTTCCTTCCTTCCTTCCTCCTTCCCTCCCTCCCAGTCTTCTGATGCTCAGTTTTGCCTATTGTGTGTATAGCATTCTCTTGGACAGAGCAGGTGATAGGAAGGGCGAGGCCTCCCAGCCACCAAGACTGTTGTTAACACAAGTGCATGAGAAACACGGTGCGCCGTTCTGGTCTCCCGTGGCAGAAGTAGAAGTCAGTTATGAGCACGGACAGCATCCCTGCTGATTTACAGTCAGAGCCTGCCTCTGCCTCTCAGAGGAGGCCAGGGAGCTCCTATGGGCCCTGTCCGGGACTTCCTCCGCCACAGCCTCTTGGCCTCACCCGGAACTCCGGATGATGGTGAACTGTGTGGTGACCGTCAACCGTGCACCAGTCATCGTGCTGTTGCACGCCTGTACTTTATCTACATCTGGTACATCCTTTGTTCCTTACAAGCAATTAGGGAACAGGCAGCACTATCTCACCCCATTTCAAAATGAGAAAACAGAAGCTCAGAGAGATGGAATGATTAGACGAAGGCCACGTGGCAGTAAGTGGGGTCTGGGTCTCAAACCTGGGTCATTGCTCCCCCTTTTCTGCACCCCTGCCCTCCAGCCCCATAGCTTCCGAGACACAGCATTGCTGTGGTTTCCCTCCTGCCTTCTGAACTCCTCTCTCCTTTCTGCTTCTTTCTCTGCTCCCCCCACACAGCTACCCTTTACCGTGCTGCGGGTCTCTGCTTTTTCTTGCTGAAGTCTCATCCTCAGGGGTGAGATTCCTTCCAGCAAATTCAGCCATGATCGTGAGGGCCAGGCCTGCATCTCCAAACCTATGTGCAACACACTCTCCCTTCTCAGGACTCAGAATGGTGCAGTGGCTGGGAGGGTCTGCGCATGTAACTTCTCACTGTACAGTAGTCCCCCTTATCTGCGGTTTTAGTTACCTGCAATTGACAAGAAAAGGGTGAGTATAGGACGATAAGATATTTTGAGAGAGAGAGAGAGAAAGGCCACATTCATGTAAGTTTTATCACAGTATGCTGTTATAGTTCTGTTTTATTATTAGTTATTGCTGTTCATCTCTTACTTGTCTAATTTGTAAATTAAACGTTATCATAGGTATGTATGTATAAGATAAAACACAGTACGTATAGGGTTTGGTACTATCTGTGGTTTCAGGCGTCCACTAGGGTCTTGGAATGAATTCCCCGCAGATAAGGGGGCACTACTGTGTATTGTTTGCATACTTGCCGTGTATTTCTTAGAAACCCAAAGCCTCTGATCTCTCAGATGTCCCCAGTCCTGACCCGGTGTCTGCTCAGTAAATGTGTACTGAATGAATGAATGAGTTAGAGATAAATGAATGAATTCCTTCAATGGGTTGATTTACCTGGCTACTATTTTTCCATGACCTTAAACAGATACAATAATGCTTTTTTTTTAATAAAAGAAAAAAATAAAGATCATTTCTTACTAAGACTGTACTTCAAAACGGCATTTCCATACTTGGAAGGTCTCTAAGAGAAAATTTCCCGGCAAATGCCAAAGATAATTGCTCCTGTAATTTGACAGTAGTAGACACGCCTTTCATGTAAAGCAGCTCTTTGTAATGACCCAGCTGCAATCCCTGCCAAAAAAGCTTGCCCAGGACATGGGCAGATTTTTAAAAATAGGTCTACCCCCCTCACCAACCCCCTCTGCAACCACATGGTATATGTTATCCGCACAAAGTCCCTCTTTGTTCCCAAACACCCAGCTCCCAAAGCACAGTGATGCTGGCTTGGCAGGAACGCCAGGGCCTCTCTCCTCCACCCACCAGCCCGCAGCTCACAGTGCTCTTGTCCCCGACAGGTCTTGGCTGCCCGACAACGAGCTCGCCACTTGCGCTGGGCACACCCGCCATCCACAGCCCAGCTCCAGGTCACCGGGGAGAGGATGAGGAGGGAGCGCCGCACACGGGCAGCCCTGAGGTGCGTGGGGGCTTCCGTGGGGATGGGCTCTCCCTTCCAGCCCCTTTTCAGAGGGAGCATCCTCCTGCCACTGGTTGTTCTTGGAGGTTGTTCTCATCAGGGAGTAGGGAGTGTAGGTGGGGACACTGTGCTGGCCCCAAAGCCATCCTTTTCCATATAACAACCTGTGCTCCCCGCACATGGGATTCAGGGAACAGAAATGGAGTCAGGAAACTCAATTCTGCAGCCTGCGTGGATGAGAAGTTGGGTAAGAGGGTCACCCGGCCAGCCTCCGCTTCCTCCACGCATGTGTAGATGCACAAGCACTATCGGATTTAATCCCACCTGTGTCTGCACTTGGCATGCAGCCAGGGACTTCTGCTTCTCTGGGGCACGCGGGTGTGGGAGCCACAAGGCAAATACACTTGTGCCTAGGGCACTGATTTAACCCAAGGGCTCAACGCAAAATGACTTTATTTTGAAGATAAAACACAAAACCTAAGGAATGTTGTGCCCTGGCAAACCTCTCCAACTCAGACCCAGACATGTTTCACTCAGTGATAGCTCCCCAGCCCATCGCATCACTGGAAGGAGCCTCCTGCAAATACTGGTCCAGGCATTTCTCTACCTCCTGAAGATGAATTTGGTCTCTCAAAAATCATTCTGATGTAGTTCGTTGAGGATTTGGGAATTCCAGGTAGTTTTCCAGAAATGGTGTTGGTAAGGTGTGCAAAGAGCACCTCCCGTGGTCTTCCTTAGCAATCCCCTTCATCACAGTGTGGAGCACCGTTAGCTCTCCTTAAATATGAAACGCATACCAAAGCAAATCCTTTTCCAAAGAGAAGAGCCATGGATATGTTAGGATAGCATATTTAAGGAGAGTGGGGTAGGAATTCCAGGAAGATGGAGCAGCGGCAAAGCTTTTAATCTTGTCAAATCTCCCCATAAAAATAGAGCAATTAAGACAGCAAAAACAAAACCCCCAGAAAACATGCACAGCCAACCCCAAAGAACTGTTTCCCCCAACTCAGCCCACAGGACCCATTCCAGGACCCAGGGGCCCCCCTCAAGCTGCCACCAAGTAGGGACAGAGGTGGAGCACCTAAGCCCTGTAGCTTAGCACTTCTGCAGAACACATGGAGGGAAGCGTGGGGTGCCTGATGCACTGAGAAAGCAGAACCCAAAGCTCCCATGGGCGCTATTCACTGGGACATTGGGCCCATCTGGCAAGAGCTTGCGCACTTCAGGTCACAGTCGACTTCAGGGTCTGGAGGTCTGGAGCCACCAGGCCAGCTGAGCCCTCAGAGCTCGCCAAGCCCAGCTCCGCCAGGACACAGACTCATCCTAGGGAAACCACTGGGGGCAGCAACCAAAGCAGGACGGGCCCAGAGAAAGCAGCTAGAGACAGCAGATTTGCAAAGAGGTAAAACTAGTTCTTTTTGCATGTGACATGAGTAAAGTCTGGAAAATCCCATAATAATGAAAAAAAAATACTACTATCGACAATTAGAGAATTTAATAAAATATCAGGTTATAAAATTGAGATAAAAAGCCAATATTCTTTGTATACACAAGCAAAAGCCAGACAGAAGATTTAATAGAAGACTTTTTTCAACACAACAAATAATAAAATACAATAAATACAATAAAATACACTTAGGCATAAATAATCTAAAGAAGAAATGCACAAAATTTATATAGGAAAATTATAAAACTGTCCTAAAAAACACAAGTGTAGACTTAAACAAATATAAACACACATTGTGTTGAACAGGAAGACACAACAACATGTCTTCCTACAGTTCTCTCTAAAATCATAAATAATAAATTTAATATATAAATAATTAATATAATCTCAGTAAAATGCTTTTAGATTTTTCTCTCTCTCTTTTTTTTGCTGGTTCTGGCCAGTTGTAAAGTTAGTTTGGAAGAACAAGTAAACATGACTAGGCAGGCAGTAAAAACCTGAAAGGTGGAGCAAGAAGGCAGGGCTAGCTCTTCCAGATATTACAATAAACTGCAAAACATGTTAAAAGAGTATACTTTTTGGCCCATGGATAACAGACAGACCTGTGAAATAGAACAGGAAACCAAGAAGACTCAAACACAAATGCCAGAGTTAACTTACACTAAAGGTGGCACCGTAGGTCTTTGGAGAGTAGATGGAGTTTTTAATAAGTAGATTGGGATAATTGACTAGATACATGGAAAAAAAAATAATATTGGATGCTTTTGTCACACCATGCACAAGTAAATTCCAAATGGGTAGAGGTTTAAATGTAAAAGGCAAAACCATACAAGTACTAGAAGAAAGCATGAGGAAAGCACGTTTCTCTAAGACCTGAGTGAGAAAAATTTCTGTGAGCTAAAACACAGAAACAGAAAGGGAAGAAAAAAATAAATTTCATTACATAAAACTTGAAGAAGAGAAAAAATTCTACGTGGCAAAAGATGACATTTGCAAAATAAAAAGACAGTGACAAACTAGTAGAAAATATTTGTAACAAAGTTTTAATATTCTTCATATATAAAGAGGTTAAAAAAAATGAAAAAAACCAACAACTCAGAACAAAAAATGGGCTGGAAAAGTGAACAGACAGGTCACAGAAAAAAGAAACACAAGCAGCCCTTGCACTTAACAGAGAATTGCGAATTAAAACTGCAAGAATCCCAAAATGTGAGCACGGACTGTGTTGGCGAGGGTGTGGCAGAAA